TGCTGCTGCTGCTGCTGCTGCTGCTCCTGCTGCTGCTGCTGCTCCTGCTCCTGCTCCTGCTGCTGCTCCTGCTGCTGCTCCTGCTCCTGCTCCTGCTCCTGCTCCTGCTCCTGCTCCTGCTCCTCCTACTACTACTACTACTACTACTACGGCGGCGGCGGCGGCGGCGGCGGCGACTACCGCGACTAGATGTATTCCGACTAGTACCAGGACTCGTACTCGCGGTTATTTTTCTACTTTCAAGAGGTTTTGAGTATACAGTAGTTGGGGAAGCGATGTGCTGATCAGTGTTTTGCAGTGAAGCTCAAGGCGGTGGCTTGACAGAGCCACAACAGCATGCAGCCGAAGCCTAGAGTTGCAACTGCCGTTCGGGCATCGAGACGAGACTCTCCCTCATCCAAATCGGCTTGTGCAAGTTGACAGCCCTGCTTAGCTGCAGCTGTGCGGCACTCAGGTCGAGGACATCTCCATCTAACAATTGGCTCAGCTTGGCTTGGACCAAACTGCAGTTGTGTGCGGAATGCTAAAAGCATGATGCATCCTTTTCACCGCTCGAAATTATGCCCGTGCTTGAGCTGTTACTTGCAACCTGAAGATTTCTTCCTCCATCTGCTCTTGCGAAAACTGGATCTGCACAAGTTTCTGTGCAAACTGAAGTTGTTCCTGCGAGCACGAGCCGGTTGAGGTGTGATGGCCAGTCTGCGCCCCTCCAAACCAGCCGTCCCTTGCCTTCCATGCATGTTCCAGGAACATTCAGAGAGGATTGTCCGCCCGGCGTAGGGCCATGCCGACCTCCAACAGAGGCGGAATGGGTGTGGGAAGTCCGGTTTCGGAAGTCCGCAGGAGCACGCCGAAGGTAGGGCCTTTGGCCGCAGATCCTGGTTGCGCTGTGGCCAAGGCCGCCAAGAGGGAAGGTCCTTGGGAGCTGGCATCCGCGGGGTCGATGTCCACGGCCTGGCACCGCACACAGCGCCCTGCCGCCTCAAAGATCGTGTTTGCCAATTGCAGTGGCAAACCCGCAGGCCAGGAAGCCTCCTCGTAGGGCTCAGCGAAGTCGACTTCCAGGTTCGCTCGGAAGCGATCTGCAGGCACTGGCAGCCCACAAAGCCGCCCGAACTCTCTCAGCGAGGCCGTGGACACTAGCAACAGCGTCTTCGGTGCATTTGCAAAGTCTGTCTTGTCGGCTGTTGCTGGTGCCTCCCCCGTGCCCCCTGCAGAAGTATCGGCCACGGAGGCCTCAGTAAGTCGCAGGTTCTGGATGCCAAGCAGCTGCTCGAACCAGGCCTCAGGCGACTCGACATGCGTCTGGTGGAAGTCGGACGGTCCATTCTCCCACGGCTCGAGTTGCGGCTCGACACCTGCAGAGCGCAAGAAGTCGCAGTCGCGCTTACTCAGAGGTAGCTCCAGAGCGCTGGCATGGTACTTGGTGGACAGGACCAGCACGAAGGCATTCTGCCCAGCCTTCCTCAAAGACATCCTCACGGTCGTTAGCCGGGGTGCTTGCTTGGCACTGACGGCCCGAAATCCACGGCCCTCAAGCTTCAGGCACCAACGCCGGTCCAAAAAGAGGGCCCCACCATCCAAAGGCCAGCGCTCGACCCGAAGCGGCCCGCAGCCCTTTACGGGATAAACCTTCAGAGCCTTCACGGTTCCAAGGGCTGGAACCGGCGCTTGCGGACGCAAGTGAATCGCTGGAGCCGCGGTTGTAGCCGATGGCGAAGCCAAGTCAGCTGGGAGCTTGCAGCCGTCTTCCAAGTAGTCTGGCGGCATCATGTCTACGAACTCGGTAAGAAGCGATATCCAGCTGCAGACGTCCGATAGTGTGGAGTACAGGCCAAAGGAAACACGAACCACGCCAGTTGGTCGACCATCCACCAGGCCCTTGTCGTCTCCACACACTTTACCAGATGCGAAGAAATGTCGGATGTCGGCGTCCTCCAAGTTTAAAAACTTCTGGCACCCCCCTGCATTGCAGTGGCAACCGGTTCGGATCACGATCTGCCTTGCCGCCGCCCTCTCACCGACAATCGCATAAGGGACCGGTGATCCGTTAGCATATTGCAAACTTAGTGCTAGCGTTGGCCCTTGCACCTCGCTCCAGTTCTCCTCATCGTGCCTGCCGAAAATCGTGCAAACTTTGAGTCCGTTGCTGTGGCGAAGTCGTGCAGTGCGGACGTATGCCTCTCTACCGACGGCCATCGCATGCCGACACCGCACATGGTCGGGGCCAAGCGCCCTCACTGACTCAAGCTGCGCTGGGAGAGATGCAATGCCCAGGAAATGGGGTGTACCCCGCTCCAACCACTCCGTTAAATTGGGACGCGGGATCGCGAAGCCAGAGAGAGCCGACAGAGACGAGACACAGCCACCTGCAAAGTAGAGAGGTCTTCCAGGGCCCCCCTGCCGCGTCGGACCTCCGGTGAGGTCTGCCTGTGGCGTGATCAGAGGCGCGGCATCATGCCGAATGAGCAGTGCCCCAAGACCAGTAGGGTATCCGAAGATCTTGTAGAAGGAAACCACTGTGAAGTCGGCGTGGCATTTATTGAGATCCAGAGCCCCAGGAGAGCAGGCAAGCTTGGCAGCATCCAGCAGCACTCTCCATTTCAGGCTTCCGGTCCTCAGCCGCTGCACGCAGGACAAGTCGCATCGAGCGCCACTGAAGTTGGACTCGCCCGGGAAGGCGATGAGGTTGTACGAGGACTTGGCATCGTGAGGCACAGAGTCTTCGAATCGAGCTGCCTCGGCTGTTAAGCACGCACCACATCGCGAGCGGTCGAGCCTTTTCTAATCCTGCTATTGCATACATCTGATTAGACCACAGCTCAGCTGATCGGTCCTGCAGTCACTCAGCACTTGCCCTGAAGGCTATCTGGCTTTGGGACATCCATCCGGGGGTCATAGTGTATATACATGCATGAACTACTGTACTTGGCCACCTCATCACCCCCCTATTCTACAACACAAACACCATAATAACGTGACCGTTATAAGTCATAAAGTCCCACACGTACAAAACTCACTAGCGGAAACAAACTGTGCATGCAAGCTGGCCGTGAGATCTTCTTCAAGCTTGGGAAGATCTTCGAGCACGAAACTGCCATAGGAGCAATTGCCTTCCTTGGCATACTGGCGAAGACCAACCACACCTGAAGGAGGTTCGATCGGTGTGATGCAGATCCTGATGCAGTTAACAGTAATAACCATTATGTTGACGATCATACTGCTGCTGTTGCTGCTGACGCTGGTGGGCCGCTGTGCTGGTCGTGCTGCTGGTCGCGGTGCTGGTGGCCCTGGTGTGCTGGCTTAACAACAGAAGTAGTGGTCGTAGCAGTAGTAGCCGCAGTGGCGGTCGCGGTGGCGGTGGCGGTCGCGGTAGCGGTCGTGGTAGCACTAGCAGAAGGAGTAGTAGAAGTAGTAGCAGCAGCAGCAGTAGTAGTAGTAGCAGCAGTAGTAGTCGTCGTCGCAGTGGTCGTGGTAGTGGTGGTGGTAGTAGTAGTGGTAGCGGTAGCGGTAGCGGCAGCGGTTGCGGTCGTTGTATTGTCGTGGTAGTGGTAGTTGTAGTAGTCACAGTGGTAGTGGTAGTGGCAGTAGTGGTAGTGGCGGTGGCGGTGGCGGTGCTGGCGGCGGCGGCAGTGGTGGTGGTTGTGGTAGTAATAGTGGTAGTAGTGGTAGGTGGTAGTCGTGGTAATAGTGGTAGTAGTGGTAGTAGTGGTACTTGTGGTAGTAGTGGTAGCAGTGGTAGTAATGGTAGTGGTAGTAGTAGTAGTAGTAGTCGTCGTCGTCGTCGTCGTCGTCGTAGTAGTAATAGTAATAGTAATAGCAATAGTAATAGTAGTAGTAGCAGCAGCAGGAGTAGTAGTAGTAGTAGTAGTAGGAGTAGTAGTAGTAGCAGTAGTAGTGTAGCAGTAGCAGTAGCAGTAGCAGTAGCAGTAGCAGTAGCA